CGTTTATTTGGCAATCGCCAATGGCAGTCAGCAGGGTTTAAGAACAAAGCAAAAGCAAATTTTTGTTTTTCCCTGGCCGGGATTCGAACTCATGCTACTGAGATATGGTGGCACCAAATCCCCTTGCACTATGCCCGGCGCGCTAGACCACTCGACCACCTAGGCTTCCGCAAATTACAGATCTAACATTGTTGGGCTGTTTTTTAGACGAATTATATATACAGAATGTGTTTACAGCCTTGTATCACCAACACTGGTGATCCGATGGATAAAATCTGTCGTAGAGTTGTCGCTGGTTCAGACGTACTTATAATATAATTATTTCTGTGACTGCATCCTACATTAACTTGTAAGATCCTCTACGATAAATAATTCAGCTGATCTGTAATATTTGATCTTCATGCCTTATATATCATGTACTGTGTTACGATGCTAGATAAAAACTGACGAGGAAAGGTAACACCCGGCCACTGAAAGCTTGATTTTTGTCGAGCCTAGGTGGTCGAGTGGTCTAGCCTAACGGGCATAGTGCAAGGCGATTTGGTGCCACGATATCTCAGTAGCATGAGTTCGAATCCCGGCCAGGGAAGAACAAAATTTTGCTTCCGCAAATTTACAGATCTAACATGGTTGGGCTGTTATTTAGACGAATTATAAATACAGAATGTGTTTACAGCCATGTATCACCATCACTGCTGGTGATCCGATGGATAGATCTGTTGTAGAGTTGTCACTGGTTCAGACGTACTTATATATATATATATATATATATATATATATATAGGGGAAAAAATAAGGCTGAAAATGCACTAAATATTTATATTCAATATGAATATTCACATTTTGTCTATTACAACAACAAATTGTTCAAAAATGTTCTCCATAGTATCCTACCGGTTTCACTGTTTAACAGATCTTCAAGGATATGGTTGCTGGCGACGTCGTCAGGGGGTAACGTCTATTAGCGACATTATTATTTAGTCCTGAACGTTATAATATGGAGAACATTTTTGAAAAATTTGTTGTTGTAATAGACAAAATGTGAATATTCATATTGAATATAAATATTTGGTGCATTTTCAGCCTTATTTTTTTCCCTATTTTATGCACAGCGTGGACAATTATATATATATAAGGAAGTATACTGGGCCAGGTCTTTTATTTCTACAGCTAATATGTATTTATTCTTAAGAGAACTCATATTGTGTGCACTACTTCATTTGCTCTCTATTAACAAGTTCGTTTATCGAAATAGTTTCAAATCAGTCTGACAAATCACTAATTAAATTAGAATTGAACCTTACATTTTTACAACAACGTTATATCAACCCGTACTCATTGAAGATTATTTATGTTTTTGTTTGACGTATTGTGTTGTGTTATATCTCTAGAGTTTATTTGATTCCTGTAATAATGTCTAGAGGTTATTTGATTCATGTAATCTTCATTCACAGATGTATCTGGACTATGAACAATGCAAAAAGAAAAAGCCAAGGTATACCACCTAATATTTACACATTTAAATAACTGATTCAGCCTCTTAGTCCCTATAAAAAGACGAAAAAGGTTAATGAAATTTGTATTTGTTAGCACTCAAATATAACTAAACAAAATACTCATCAACTTCCTAATTTCTATTTTTGCCACACTTTTATCCAGAGACAAGTATACATGTATAAGTAGTCAATCATCTTATAAATCTTAAGATAAGAGTTAAAGTTTCCAGTGGAAACTTAAAACGTTAAGTAGTGATGCGCTAATGTTTTGTCAATAGATCCGAAATGAACGCGTTAAAAGTAACATGATATAAGATGAAAATGAAATATCAAGTCAGAATTCTCATCCAAAAGAGAGTAGTTGCTTATATCAACTTCATTTGGTCTCGGGTGGATAGTTCATCGGTAATCATACTTCATCTACTTATGTTTTCCATTAATAATTCACGCATCATCGATCACCTGTCATACAGCGTATATAATGAGGAAAATTGAAAACTTCAAAAGTTGATTTATAACACTAGACAGAACGAGCTTAAAATTGTACCAGCAGTACTACTAACATACAATCAATACTGACATTAACAGATGGAAAAAGGCAATATTGAAAACTTATTCATAAGATTTTTGGGAAAAATAGGCATTTCAGAAGCTTTGAATGGTAATGATAAACTGCTGTAAAAGCAATCAAAATATTTAATATCTTATTAAAACTTTGAATATTTCACTGATATGTTATCAGATAGTTCTGATGGCCTCAAGGTAAATCAGTGAATGCTAATTGAGTCACCCTCTTTAAATAAAGTCATTATTATTATTATTATTAAAGGTCTAACGGGGAGAATTTTAACAGATCAAAAGTACTGTGGTAATGGTGACGGTTTTTTTCATATCTCGCCATACTTTGTATGAACAACGCCTTTAACTGTTTATAAAAATGTCATTTGTTCGAAATACCAAGAATTGTTAACCCAGGAATAGTTTACCTAAGCGGCATGTGGCAAAACCTTTCGGAATTTTGGGTCCTCAATGCTCTTCAACTTTTTTTGTCCTTTTTATTTTTGGATTCGAGCGTCATTGATGACCCTTTTGTAGACGATTCGCGCGTATGGCGTAAACAATCATTAGCTTGGTTTCTTTGGTAAGTTTTTTTCTGTATATATTGTAGTTGTTTTTCAATACATGTTGATGGTTATAAACATCTTATGAAAATCTTTTTTGCCTAGTTCATATTTTGACAAAAAAAAAATTGAAAAATTCCATAATGAAAAATAAAATGTCTGGCGTGCCAAATTATAAGTCTGATGTCTTTGGTGAGTTTTTTTACAATCACTTTGTCAATGCCACTGCAGGTGATTGTTTTGTCCCCGAGTGAATCAGCCGTCCAGTTGTCAGAACTTTTGTGTTCACATGAAATATCATTATCATAACTTTACTTTTATAAAATGTAAAATGTAAAGATTATCCCGACACTAAGGCTTCTTTACCCCAGACATTGACAGCTTTAGCTATATTTGTACCCCAGACATTGATAGCTTTAGCCATATTTGACACATCATTTTTAAATGTTTGGTTTTCAATGCTCTCGTACTTCGTCTTTGATTTGTCCTTACGTTTTATATAGATGAAACGCGCGTCCGGCGTACCCTATTCTAAGCCTTATATCGTTGATGAGTTTTTACATCATTTACATCTTAAACTACTAGATCATTAAAGTTATATATTGAAAACATGTAGATTGTCATTTGTAATGGATATCAACATCCAATTCCCAAAACACCCTTAGCCTATTTGATGAATTTCAATAACTGTCACAAAATTACTGCACACTTTTGATATTAGTTGTATAATATAACAAGACTTATTCCTGTGGATTTTCACGGCGGATATGACGGTAACATATGTAAATAATAAGATTTACAATTCAAATAGACAATCGCGAGAGTGAAACAGATAGAATAACGTGAATTCCAAACGAGGTGAAACAATGTCACATCACAAGGTTTAGCATCATTGGCATGTATATATTATTCGTCATTAAATCAACGTCATATCCGGTAACATGTGCCATGCAAGGAACATAAAGGGCTATGTGGGTCTAAATAAACTCATCTAAGACAGAGTTAATATGACTTCAGCAAGTTAAGACCCTGAGACATTGTAATACTCAATGTGTGTTGGTACTTGTCGTATTGAATATTTCAGTCGTTCTGCATCATGGAGTAATTTTTGAGTGTATCTGCCTTCTTTTCCAGACCAGATCAATACATGTACATATATGCAGTGTTTTATTCAAGTTCACGGTAATAAATCTGACGGAAGACGGCCTTTTGTGTGAAAAGACATCCTTAGAAATCCTTAGTTTTACATAACTCGATGAGCTGGGTATTTACTAACAAAATGAATCATGTAAATCATGCTAATTTTTTTTTAAACTGTTTAAACTTAAAAGATCTTTCGACTGGCTGCGTTTAACATGAATTTTCATAACCAATCCTTTATTGGGATGAAAAAACGACATGCGTAATTTTATATTGCAGTCAAATAAACTCATCATAGATACAAGGATTAAAATTCTGTACGCCAGACGCGCGTTTCGTCTTCAAAAGACTCATTAGTGATGCTCGAATCATAGTAGTTAAAAAGTCCAAATAAAGTACGAAGTTGAAGAGCATTGAGGACCAAAAATTCCGAACGGTTATGCCAAATACAGTAAAGGTATCTATTCCTGGGGTAGAAAATCCTTAGTATTTCGAAAAATTCTAAGTTTTGTAAACAGCTAATTTATAATCATGACCACATCAATGATAATTCATGTCAACCCAGAGGTGCTGACTACTGTGGTGATGATACCCTCGGGAAGGAAACCTCCACCAGCAGTGTCATCGACCCAGTGGTTGTAAATAAATTCATCGTAGATACCAGGATTAAAATTTTGTACGCTAGACGCGCGTTTCGTCTTAAAAAAGACCCATCAGTGATGCTCGAATCATTAAAGTTAAAAAGGCCAAATAAAGTACGAAGTTGAAGAGCATTGAGGACCAAAAATTCCAAACGGTTATGCCAAATACAGTAAAGGTATCTATTCCTGGGGTAGAAAATCCTTAGTATTTCGAAATCGGACAGCGTTTAGCCTCCAATTAAAAACTATCATTATAACCTCCTGTTGAAATAACAAATTATCTTATCGTTCAATAAAAACAGTGGATAGACATAATGACTGATTCGAAATCTTGGTTAATTGAGACATATGAATCTACTTTGTCAGAAATTTGCTCAATAAAACTTAATAGTCAGTAAATTGTGCATAGAGCTGCACATGCCAACGTATCGATACAATATAAAATGCGGTTGTCATCAAACTAATCAAGTGTAATGTGTGGAGTCGTGGGTCACATTTAAGCGCATTGATAGGACATTTTAGCGTTTAGACATTTTAGTCACCTCCTACAGAATTCCATATTTCTATTTCAAAGTATGGCGAACATAAAAATTAAATAGACATTAGACAACAAAACGTATTTATAAAAATATAACAAATATCTTAAAAGCCTTTACAATATAAATAGTTATCAACTGCACATTTAGATATGCTGGCCATTGGACTTCCTGACATTAAACTTGAATGCAATAATCACACCTGCAAAGAAAGAAAACAACCTATTTATACAATTTTCAGAATTGTATGGACTCTATGGAGAAGATATTCCTAAAAGAAATAAGATGTATAAAATTGATATTCAAGATCTATAACTTCTTTGACATCGACTCGTAGAACACTTTAAAGTTAAAGTCATCTCAAGACAATAGTTGCTAACCTTCTACGACATTTTGTATCTGGTAAAATGTTGTCTCATTGGCAATAATACCACATCTTTTTATTTTTATAATACTACTAGATAGAGGAAATTTACGACTATTTTCACTTGATTTTCTTACAGATGTCCTATTGCGGACACTAGTAGTTTTCGATATGACACTTTCCCTTCATCTAGTATAGGTTTTAAGGAAGTAGCAAACATAACAACACAAAACAAATGGTTATAAAATGTCGTTTAAGGGACATAACTCATGACTTCATAACAATTTTATTATATTTACTGATTTGTAGATAATTCTTATATGATTTGCATATCTACAAATATTTGATTCGGATTGCTCCGTTAAAATTTTTTCCCTTAGTTTATGTTGCCGAAACTACTTCTGTAACCCTCACTGTGATCTATTTATGCGCGATACACATTTGCGCTGTTTAAAGTTGCATTCTCTCTACATTAGTTCGGAATTTCGGTCAGTAGATGGCTACAATTGATGAAGAGCTCGTGTGAAGCTCGTGTGAAGCTCATAGACAAGTATAAAAGAATAACCCTGATTAAGCAGGGATATCTATGACAGAGATAGTATTCTCTCAAGGAAGTCTCTGTAGATGACACCAGACTTCACGAATCAATCCGGATATGACATATACCAGATGAAGGTGCTGCTAATATTTTGCTTCCCACACAATAAATTTAACCTTACACTTTCATGTTCAAAAGTCCTTTTGAAATTTTTTATAAGTAATCATTCGTGCGTGATGACTTGTGTAATCAAAGTGATCGAAATCACTGAAGGAAAGATTGGTAGAGATGGTTGAATAATTTCAAATTATATTTAGGTATGTTGTTGACCCCAATAAAAGCTTGATATAGCACTATTGCATACAGTTGCATTTACTGCAGTTCTTTAGAAAAGAAGTATTTAGTTTTTTTTTTGTGGATAAAATTAGCTAAATGTGAGTCAACGATAGTAGGTCCCTTAATTAACATAACAATTTCGTTTAAATTGCAATTTGAGATTTTAATCCACTAATGTTCACTGTTAGGATTTTAATCCACTAATGTTCCCTGTTTTATGTTTTATGTTTACATCTTTAGAAGAAAAAAAAAGAATTTATCAAGTAAAGAGTATTTTAATAATTAAAGTTCATTCATTATCCGTGTAGGAGATCTTGGACCAATAGATAAAGAGACTTGAAACTATGATGACCTTTGTCTGAATCAGCCTGAAAAAGTTGTTTTGTGAGCATTTTGTATATTGAATCAAAGGTTTACTATTGTTCTCCTCTAATGATCGCTAATTGATTTAAAAAAAAAAATGATTACACTGAAGATGAGTAGTTAGTTGAAGGGAGGTATACAGGAATTTCTTTTTGTTCATAACTTACGTGTTTAAAGTTTTTAATATATTGCCAAAGGATGGAGTTTTTTTTTCATTTTTGGTGCATTTTCTTTCATAAACAGTTAAATTTTAGAAGGTGAACTTATTTTGGCATCTTAACATGTCATTAATGATTTTTCAGAGAAAAAACTATGTAAATTAAGTTTTTTATCCTACATTGAACTTTTGATGTCGTCCCTTATTGCACTGATTTATCAATCACAATATAACCCTTACTAGATAAAATTGAGAATGGAAATGGGGAATGTGTCAAAGAGACAACAACAAGACCAAAGAGCAGAAAACAGCCAAAGGCCACCAATTTGTCTTCAACACAGCAAGAAAATCCCGCACCCGGCTTCAGCTTTATATATACAGATTTCATATTTCGTCTTTTCTCAAAAAGAAAACAGATCTTGTTAATCCTTAATCTTTTATCTTTCAGTCATTTTATGTAGTGTAGATCAAAAGTAATAGGTTAATTATTAAATCTGTCACATCTGTATATATTAGGGATGTCAACTCGGTGAAGATTTACTAATCGAGTACTCGTTGGATTTACCGAGCGATACTCGAGTACTCGCTCGGAAAAACATTTACAAAATGGACACACAAAATTATACCCATTTTACGTATTGTGGATCGTTGTCTTAAGGACTTAAAACCCTCAACATTATTACCTAGGACTATGTTAATAGTCCCAGGAATTTTATACCATCCTTAATAGCTCATTTACTACATGTACTAGATATGTTAACTTGCAATAATCTAATCAATTAATTAATAAAAATCTATAGAACAAATATTTTAATTTTGATTAATTTTATTAATATCTTATTTCCTAGGAAGTGCTCTTAATAAAAAAAAATTTCTGTAAGAAGGCAACAACATTCTAACATAAACCGATTAGTCGAGTATCATTTTGGTATTCGATACTCGGTACTATCGAGCGATACTCGAATACTCGAGTATCGTTGACATCCCTAGTATATATCAAACATTTGTTTATTCATTAATGAAGTCAAGTATTGTGTATTGAGTTGAATGATACAGTGTCTGCTTAACTATGTAAGACTGAATTCAATAAGTAATTTGGTCAATATGAGTGGCATTTAAATGGGTTGGACATTCCAAGTAAAGCTCCACCTTGACTCTGATTGTTTGCTGATTATAACAGTTGTCAACCGTACTGGTATTGTATCAATACACTTACCTAATCATGCTAATAAAACTAAGATACAACTAGCCAGCAAATTGACAAAACAATACATAATACATACTTAAATGAACTGTTCTAAAGACATAACCCAAACGTTGCCCAGTTCAAATGTACACATGTACACATATATAGGAATTATTGGGAACTATATTCAGTGTGTATAGATTTAGTACAAATAGTCGCTAATCTGTCTACTTTCTTATTGGGAGGCCGGTGCCTTAGAAAAGAATTAGAACATTAGTCGTAAGCTTATCTAAAACAAACAGAAATACTTAATAAGCTGTCGTAATATTGCCTCATTCTTACCTAGTAATGTATGTATGATACTGCAACCAATGCAATACAAAAAAGTACCTTAAATAGTTTGATGCGTATCCGAAAACTTATATTTTAAGCCCGAAGCTTAACTTAGCTTGCGTGATATTACCTCAACCTTGCCTGAAGATGCACACAGCAAAAACCCATTTCGTAAAATCAACAGTTAGTTTTACATATTTATCAGATCTACACCATAATGAAATGTTCCCCAAAACTACTAGTACATGAATTTTCATTGATGAACTGATGTGGATGTAAGCAAACATGGGTCCTCATAAGCCTTCATCAATGAGCAAAATCCATATTGTTTAGTAAGGCATAAAAGGCCCCGAAATGACAAAATGTAAAACAATTCAAACGAGAAAAAAAACGGCTATTTTTATTATAAAACAATAAATGAAAAACAAATGTTACAGATAGCAACCAGCAAAAACCACAAAAATTTCAATCAATTCAAACATGTAAACGAGCGCTCAATCCTCTCCCTATGAGAAAGTGGTGTAACAGCACAACATAGAACAAACTGTAGAATCAGTTGGAAAGGGCTTGACACGTGAGGTCGGCATGAAGCACAAACTATGTGTATTCGTTAACTTACGTAATAAGCCTGGCATTTATTTTTTCAGAAGCTTTCTATAAGGAGTTATATGCACAAGGTGTCACTATAGTTAAATGAGGCTCGATAGGCCAGAGTCGATAAATCCCCTCATAAATAATGAAACTAAGAATGGTAATAAAGTATGGTCAAGTGCACATTATGACAATCGGTTCGAGAAGGGTTAACATGGTGTCATTGCATTACAATAGTAAAAGAAAGGTCATAATTTCACAACCCCGCAAGAATTGTCAAAACAAACTTGATGATGGTATAGAATGGTGATATATATAGTATGGGTATATTACAGCTGGTGACAACAAATCGTGTCAAATAAGCAGACTTTCGGACAAACAGTCTTATGAGTTGAGTTCACAAGATATCATTGTTACAATAATAATAAAAAAGGTAGTCAAGGTTCCGTAACTCCAGCAAGAATTGTAATCAAACTTATGGTATAGTATGATCTTTTATATTAGATAAAACAATCAACGTCCGTAACTACCACACCAGTTGAAAATCTAACTAACGATGCAATATGGTTATGAGAATAAGATGACCTATAATCCTGATAAATTAGTATGTCACTGACCGATGAAGAGTATAACTATTACCCGCGGAATATGAGGTTGGAACAAAAAGTACTAAAATACTATAATTCAAAGGACAAATCATATCACGGCAAAAAAAAAATAAAAATAAGACAAACAGCATTTGTAAAACACTTTACAAGGAATCCGAACGTAAGACATGCACAACAAATCGTGAGTAAACTCTTTGTACTATTTCAATAAAGGTTTATATATATCAGTGATAATTTATTTTAAATGTAATAGAAAAATTATGTATACTTGATAATTTCAAATTTCGATATGAAATACTGTAATATTCACAAATTAGCAGATATAATTACGTATTATCTGCCGTTAAATCTCACAATAGTAATTGAGCGCTACACTTCATTAAAATTGTTCATTATAACTAATTTATACTGAAATACTTACTAGTCAAGGAAAATACAGCACACATCAAGTACATCCCGTACCACCCTATCACAGATTTCAGATTCTCAGATAAAATAGCCCCGATCGGAGAGGTTATCACCTACAAGAAAGGATAAATCCATTATTATTCATCATATTGATATCTGAATACATCTGTTCATACTGCTAATAATAATAGGGGGTGTTTAACCTTGTTCATACTGCGACGGACTTTCATTCTACATGTCAGTCCATGAAACAAAAATGTATAAACTTCACGTGTATAATATGAAAATAACATACTATTTTGGTGTGTCCGATTCCTTATCTGGATTCTTCTTGATAAGGAGCGTTCAAACTCAAAAGTTTAAAGTCAAGAACGTATGAGTTCTAGGCAGTATTAGGAGCTATATATGTAACATAAAAAAAAGCTAATTCCATTAAAGATCAACTTTGCCTGCGGGAATTGGAGCCTTCCTTTCTAAATGATTAATAAATTATATAATATCGAACAAATGTTCATACAAATAGAAAAAAATACTACCAGAATACGAGTTAAGTCAAATTGTTCCGTCTCTTATGTGTTAGTTTAAAATCGAAGCATTAAAGACCTTTGATAAATTTTTAAAACGAGGATTAGCACTAATATTGATATTCTCTACATTTCTACATTTATTTACTGTTATATCTTCAAAAATATACTTCATGCACATCAATTCCATATTCCCTTTCTCACGCGCTAATACTGAGATTACCTTTAAAATTTATACATAATTCCAAATGGCAAAAACAAAATATGCCATCTATCCTTAATCTATCACTAACTTGTACGTTTCCTACCTCTCAGAAAGGTAATTAGAAATACAAAAAAAAATAGGTATAGAATTCAAATGAAAAATTTAAGTGAATTAAAACCGTCGACTGCTGAGTAAAATCTGAAAGGTTCGGATTATTTTTTTAGGTAAAAGTATAAAATGTGTGCTATACTTACAGATGCAGTAAATACCATTCCATATATTATTGGATACTCTTTTTGGCCGAAAGCTTTTGACGTTGCTGTGGGTAGCAGTGAAAAATTTCCCGAAAAACATAAAAATAACAAACAAACATAAATAAGATATAACCCTTTCCCAGATAAACTTGTTAATCCAAATGAAAGAGTCAATGCAGCAAAACTTCCACAGGACAACATCATAGCAAGCTGCAAGTAGAAGAAAGAACGGCAGTTTTTCAATCGTATAAAGATAAATGTACCTCCCCCTCCCCCGTGAAATGTATACAGTAGACGACATAAGGAGTAGAACTGGTTTCCAACAAATTTTCTTTGGTTTAGTTTTTTTCACACATATACAACATGATAAAGGTATGTGTACATAGGTGTTCTGCTTTTGTTTTTACTTCAGTAAGACATTTTTCTATCTGATGCAGGTCGAAAACTCCTGTAAAGTTACATTATTATCTATAACATTAAAAATGCACTCGGTGTACTCGTTAGAAATATCATTAAGTGTTTAAATGCATTGTAAAAACATATTTTAAGTATAAGGGGAATGCATGGACTCTTAAGTAAACAAAATAGTGAAAGTTTATTAACTCGTCGGAAATTGGGGTAAGTCTCTATCTAAACAGTGCAGCAGAAAATCATCATCTGTAGTTTAAATCTTACCAATAAAGTTGTAAAAAAGGGGAAGAAGATACTAAGGCGGTAGTCAGAAACAGTTTTACAAAGACAGACCGGCACCATGGCCAAAAGAATAAAAGGCAGTAATTACCTATAGTTGTTATTATTTTCATGAATCAGGCATTTAGTTTTCTCGTTTCAATTGTTTTACATTTGTCATTTCGGGGTCTTTTATAGCTTATTAAGCGGTATAGGTTTTGTCCATTGTTGAAGGCCGTACGGTGACCTATAGTTGTTAACTTCTACGTCATTTTGTCTCTGGTGTAGAGTTGTCATTTGCAATCATACCACATCTTCGTATTTTTTAAACAGACAAACAACGTCCCACATAACACTACACATAAAACACATAAAACTAAATCTTGAGCAACATAAAATAAGTTGAACCCCGGTGCTCCGGAACGGTAATAAGTTGTAAATGTTTTATCAAATTACCCTAAATGAGTATTTGTCAGCTAAATGTCCCCACATAATTCTTCCAGAACCATTACAAACTGCTGCCAAAGATCCAACTATAGCTAAAAAGTGGTCATCTTTTATAAAACTTTGTCCATAGGCCTGTTTACGGAAGTCATAACAAATATTAAAAATCATCATGTCGAAGTTTTAAAGAAAAATAATAATGGTCATATCAATAAAAAATATAAACATATGAATACTATAACAAAAAACTGACAAAAAATATTTGAAATTTTATTGTGAGAATAATTAAAGGCTTCATATTGTGTCGAGCAGTGATATTTTACAATATCAATTTGCAGACAACCTGATAATCCATTTATCGGATTGTATTTGTGTATTTGCATGACAGAAAAAAGTGTTTTCTTTGTTTCACCAGCAAACCGGAAGATGTCGTAATAAGTTCGGATGAAAATTATCAACGTCGATTCATTCATTGTGACGTCTATGATATGTCTGGATCAAAGTTATTAAGGCCAGGCCAACGTATTTGACGTCTCAAAGCCGTGATATGCAATTTTATGAAGAGCTGAGCAGAGTGATACAGACAGTGGGAACACCGATAATAAATATACATATACATATATATAATCAAAAAAATATTGATAAATGCAATACCTTATATAATCCCGACACAAACTGTATACCTTGTCCATTAAACAAGTATATAAACCATAACTGGTAAAAGGCAGTTTGCTTAATCGCTTCTCTCCATGTAAAACTGGCCTCATTTTCTGGACTGCAACGAAAAATAACAAAGGATAGGTTGCTGTGAAATCACAGTTCAAAGATACATCAATAGTGTATACAAACTAAATACCAAACACAAAACAGATACAATCACACATACTTTGGTTTATTCATCTCTATTGTAGGCTATTCTCTAAACACGGGTCATGCACAGTGGAATAGGTATATCACGTTTATCTTACCACCATCGTGTCAGTGCCGCTGCTGTTTAACTGTTACTTCCCGGGCTAGTAAGTAGTTAGTGCTTCAGTATTGGCATCATTGACTTGATAAATTCTTATATTAATTTTCAGTTTACAAATTATGTAGTTCTGCTGAAAATAAGATTGCAACTTCCTCAGCGCAGATAATCTTAAACTGTTTAAATGTTTTATGTTTGACATGGTTTGATTCTCGTTAACATTTAATGAGTCTTGCTTCCAAAACGGCTTTGGTTAAAAAAATACACATGAAAGGTTATTCTAGAATCAACGTGATTTGGACACTGAAGGGTAACGATTGCACTCATTTTGCAGCAATAACTAAAAATTAAACATTGCATTGTATTATATATGTTCCGGACCATATGAGTATTTGGACCATACGCGTATGGTCATGCCATGCGCGTATGGTAATGACAATATGCGTATACTCATATGGTCTGACCATACGCGTATGGTCGGACCATACGAGTATTATACTCGTTTGGTTATTAATGGGTCGGACCATATGAGTATTTAGACCATATAGGTATTTTTCGAATAAATTCGCAGGAACACACAGCAAATTTTCCGAACCAAAAACGGCACACGTTACTAATCGAATTTCTTTATCTTTTTCATATATTGTCTGAATTTAGGTGTATCTATTATTTTATCTTCGTTAGCATCAATTTAAAGCGCCTTGTTCCTGGTTGTCGACTTTTTCGTCCGTAAGTGAAACCACGGGCGTTTGAGACATGTACCTATTTTGAGACATGTTCTTTTTCTTGATGTTTAAATTATTTTTCCAGAAACAAAATGTCTTCTAATGTTTACTTATTTTCATTTAATTGATGTCTTCTTGCCCCTAATTATAATTCTTAATGTTATTGTAAGATCGTATGAGTAGGAGCAAGAACACATTTTGAAAATAACTAAAAACAATTTGAAATATTTAAGAAATTCTAATCTAACAAACAAAATAATACTTACTTGTAAGTAAAATTCACATTGTTTCATTAATCATGTAACATTGATTACCATATGATTGAATATATCAAATTTTCATTTTAAGAAACTCTTAACTATGCGACACCTTTTCAACGTTAATCATCAGTTAATTACCCGGACCATACGCGTATGGTCGGACCATATGAGTATATACACATATGGTCATGACCATACGCATGTGGTCCAAATACTCAAATGGTCCGGAACATATATATTAATCATGGAAGGTAATTCTGTTAATAAGAAGATAGCTCCAGCCAAAATAAAAACATCAACGTGTTTGCAAGATACAGAGGTTTGCGGACGACGGAGCAGGCAAGTTATTTCATTGGTTATTATCTCCTAATATTATTCAACATACTTTTGAACTACACCTTCGTCTTCATCTGCACCCATATTCTGTGGTAACAACTGATACTAAATAAATTGAGAAAATAGCAAATGTCAGCGGCATTCATAGTATTATGCATTTATAAAAGGTCAGAGATGTACTTTGTCGTTTAAATTTAGTTTCATTTTATTACTTATCGATATAAAAGTGAGGACAAATTCTTACTTGATGAGGAGGATCAGCTAACATCAAACATCCAATCAACTGTAGAGCAGCATAACATCCTCCAAGTAAAAGGAAACAACTTGGTACTTTATCTAATACTGCATTTTCTGTAAAATATCTACAAAAAGATTGCGCTCTATCATATTTTGATATGAGGTAGTCTTGAGAACAACATTTTTGTGTACTGATAATTATCTAGGACTAATATGAAATAAATGCAATTTGTTACGTTCTGACATAAGGATAATGTTTTATATAAGCTGAGACTCTTGTCTGGCATCCTGGTAAATGTTCCAGGCAGACATAGAAAAGAGTTCAAATCCTTAACATAAAAAACTACTGTGAGACTATATTTGTTTTTATGTGATCAATAAAGATTTCTGAAAGTTTCAATTTACAGAAAGGATGGTGTTTAAATATCATAACTTACTTGTCTCCCGCAACTTTCAGATCTGCTTCTTTATTTTCTGGATTAAGAAAAACTGTTTGAATTTGATCAAATATAAAGGCTCCACTTCCGAAGCCCGCTACAACTAACCCGCTTACAAGTCCTTTATGTTCAGGAAACCACTATATAAATAACACATTACCAGTAATTACTGTATTAAGTCTAAATAAATGTGTTGGAGTAAATAAAGACTGTCATCGGAACGCTGTTTGAACAACATAATCCTGTAGTTGGTATCTCTATAATGGGGAAATATACAGACTAGTAGTTGCATAAGCTTGACAATAGAGCAAACGAAGCCATGATTTATTACTGTCTCTAGTAAAGAGAACTAATTCTCAACGTCAATGAAGTTCGTTAAATGTCCTGATGATAATTCTGATCGCCTATACATCGATAAGGGGGGAATAGAAAATAATAATTCATCTGCACGTCAGTGCATCCGTTCACCTCTCCGTTATATTTTCTTGTTGTTTTGCGCCCATTCTAGCATAAACGACCAGATTTCAACCTTTTTTTAAAGGAAATGTTGGGTATACAAGTTCTGTTTACGAGACAATTTGAGTAACATATATTATACATGTTAGGAAAATACCCTTTACACTGGGGATACTAATCGTCGGGGACACGGCAGTGCGTCAACAAAATTTGAAATAAATTATGCAAATATAGTTTAAGATATACATGCAGTTGAAATAACTATCATATAACAGTGATAAAATTATCAAAAGAATATATCAATTCCTTTTCATAATATTAATATCAAATAAAGTCACATATAGCTACATTTGTAAACCTACATATGTGGAACAGGAACGGTCCTTCCGGAGCACCTTAGAAAAAAAAACTCAACTCTGTTTTTTTTAAGGAAGGAGTCGTATTGTTCAGTATTTAATTTCTATAAAGTGTTTTGTAGACTTTTGTTTATCTTTTCTTCGTATTTCGTTTTCGCGATGGTTTTGTCGGTTTGTCTTCTACTTAAGAATTTTGAATGGCCCTTTCGTATCTTCTGCCTCTCTTTTGTACAACTTGTTATACAAATGTTTATGCAAAGTATAAATACTTCCATGTATTTAAAATATACGACGTCAAACAATGCAATAGGTTGAGAACTTTGATAAGGTATACTTTAACTAAAGCATCACATTTATAAAAAAAAAATAAATACATTATTGAATGAAACAGATTACTACGACATCAAAATTATTGTGATGGGATCTAGTTGTTGCAAAAAAACGTAGACCTTAAATTTGTATGTTGATTTTTCTGAATCACAGTTTGAATGAGACAATACCTCAGCTATAATTAAAAAAAAATCATTTTCTGTAAAGATAATCTTCTTGTTAGTGTACATATACATTTGTTAAAAAAGGCAAAACCCAGGTTATATACATATAAGATGTGAAAAAACAATCACTCAGTCTAGTTTTTGTCACAGTGCGGCCTTCAACGATGAGCCTTGTTTTCAAAGTAAATAATAGTCCAACGATCAAATTGTAACATTTTGTTTTTTAAGAAGGACGAAAGTATGATTAGTATAGAACGCAGACCATAACCTGGAAAGACGAAATCCATTTAACCTTTATTGAGGCCATTTATGATTAATATGTGTCTAATATTTTCTGGTCATGGAACACCATGATACTTCAGATGTTGATCGAATAAAGCTGCTAACAATTAAGATCTCACCTTGTGTCCACAATTGATAGGCACAGCATAGGCAATTCCAACACCTAAACCAAACATTAAACCATACGTTACCACGACAAGCGCGAAAGATTTCTGGACGGAGAAATACGTCAGGGCGACTCCGCCACTAAAAAAATATCAAAGTGAAGACAATTGTAAATACAGTGAAAGATAAATTCTTCATACAGAAAATAAATAATGCATTATGTGTCCTTTTAACCTTTTCTCTGCAAATCCTTCAGAATTGATTCTTTGATACTTAATCCTTAAAGAACGAAATTGAAGATCATTGAGGACCAAAATTTGTTCAAGTTCATGCTGAATACATATTCATGTTCTGGTAGAAGTATGCTGTATTTTAAAAATGCATGCAAATAGCAGCAGTTATCTTTTGGCGTAAACATTTCTATTTGTAGGAATTATGAAACTTAATGTTTTATCTTGAAGTCATACAAACGTAAAGAGAAAATTGAGTTCCGTAATATTTTTTTCAATACCTTTTACTTAAAAGAGTATTGTATTTTGAATAAGTATAATCGAGGCAACCATATACTACAACTAGAAGATACACATGTATAAGGCAACCAGATACTACAACTAGAAAATACAGATGTATTAGGCAACCAGATACTACAACTAGAAGAAATGCATGTATCAGGCAACCAGATACTACAAATAGAAAATACACTCGCATGGAGCAACCAGATACAACAACTAGAAGATACAAATGTATTAGGCAACCAGATACAACGACTAGAAGATACACATGTATTTGACAAACAGATACTACAACTAGAAGATATACGCGTATGGAGCAACCAGATACTACAACTAGAAGATACATATGTATAAGTCAACCAGATACTACAACTAGAAGATACACGCGTATGGAGCAACCAGATATAACGAATAGGAGATACGCATGTATTAGGCAACCAGATACTATAACTAGAAGAAACACGTGTATTCGGAAAGCAGATACTAAAGCTATAAAATACACATGTATGAGGCAACCAGATACTACAACTAGAAGATGCACATGTATGAGGCAACCAGATACTACAACTAGAAAATACAGATGTATTAGACAACCAGACACTACATCTAGAAGATACACTTGTATTAGGCAACCAGATGCAACAACTAGAAGATACACATGTATTAGGCAACCAGATGCAACAATTAGAAGATACACATGTATTAGGCAACCAGATGCAACAACTAGAAGAAACACGTGTATTCGGAAAGCAGATACTAAAGCTATAAAATACACATGTATGAGGCAACCAGATACTACAACTAGAAGATGCACATGTATGAGGCAACCAGATACTACAACTAGAAATTACAGATGTATTAGACAACAGTAATATACTACATCTAGAAGGTACACTTGTATTAGGCAACCAGATGCAACAACTAGAAGATACACATGTATTAGGCAACCAGATGCAACAACTAAATGATACACATGTATTAGGCAACCAGATGCAACAACTAGAAGCTACACATGTATTAGGCAACCAGATGCAACAACTAGAAGATACACATGTATTAGGCAACCAGATGCAACAACTAGAAGATACACATGTACGAGACAACCAGATGCAACAATTAGAAGATATATATGTAAGGGTCATTTAGGGTTAAGTAATATTGTTTATAGTACTTGGACAAAAATCTTTTTAAAGGAAATGCTGATACCTTCATGAAACATTGCAAACAAGTTGCTTATTTAATAAAAGGAAAAGCAAAACGTGAACCCGAGACCGCGGACTGGTCACCAAATACTTTTTGCTGAATTTATTTTTGCTTTTGGAAGAGGGCAAACTTGATCTGCATTTTGTAGTACTAAGCATTGTGTATAAGTTTCATAACATTTGGTTGAGGCAAACTTAAGTTAGAGAACGGAAACGAAAAATTTGTAAAGGGGCATAACTCTAGAACGGTACAAGTGATGGCACTAAAATTCAAACTTAATCTGTGTTTTGTGGTAATAAGCATTGTGTATAAGTTTCATAACATTTGGTTGAGGCAAACTAAAGTAAGAGAACGGAAACCAATTTCGGGACGTACGGACGGACGTACAGACGGACAAGGGTAAAATTTAATGCCTCCTCCGGTACGGCGGGGGCATAAAAACTCAAAAACTTTACAATTCAATAAAAATAATAGCGAATAACCATGACTTTGACTCATCGCCGTAATTTGATATAATTATATTTAACTGTCAGCTCCTTGTATGAATTTTCCGAAACATTAAATGTTAGTGTTGTTTGTAAATAAAGATAGTTTCTTACAGAGATTTTCAAATCGTTAGAAAAATGTCTCTGATAATTTGTGACGAGACGGTATTTTAAAATAATTTATGTGTAAAGTACCTGGATATCCATGACCCGATCAAGGTAGTCCATCGTGGCCCTATCTTCTCATACATAAATCCTCCAATGAACATTGACGCTCCTTGTCCCATGGCTGCTGAGGAAAATATCCAAATACTTCTAGAGTACGTCAAATCGTTATCGATATCCTTTTGACGCAGATAAGACGTTATATAAGGTGTCATGTTTCCTAAGATAATGAAAATGACTTCTTAGTATTTCAACATTCAAACGCGTAAAAGTTTCCAGATAAAATTGATGAAATTCAATGTTTAAGAATTGACAGGGTTAATGTATTCAGTCTGCTTTGTGTGTACATCAATGTACGAAGGAGGTGTGGGATATAAGTCAGTAGAGACAATTAATCAAAGATCTAGATTAAACCGTTTGAACCTGAATTTTGAAAACACTCTTCTGTTGTTTTGCATCTGGAAAGCAGAGACAATACCAATGTCTCCTCTGAAACCACTTGGTCGGATGACACTGACTGAACTTAAGAATGAATCTGGCTGATGGCCATATCAATGTCACAACTTAAAGCTCCAACTCTGAACCAAGGCAGCAAGGTAAAGTTTATCTGATTAACTGAACAATTTTCGACATCATATCTGAAAGCGCGTTTCTAAATGAAACCAATCTTGTTTTTGTGGAGTTGCTTTAAAGTGTAACAATTTACGCCTGTCCTCTATCCAACATTTAATGCTTGTTTGGTTTTTAGTTTTTGTATAATTGTTTTGTTTGTAATTTTATTTTTGTTTTTATTTGTTTTAGGTTTTTTTTCCATTTCTAATCAGGTATGAAACCATGCCATTTCCAAAAAGGGAACGTTAGTTCATAAGCATCACTTGCTGAACAATCTCTTTTTGGTGTGTGTGTGTGTTTTTTTTTTATTTGCTCATACGTAAAGATAACTAACAAGATCTCCAAATGAGACTATTTTGGCAGTTTTGCATAAAACGAAAGAAGTTTCAAGTCCTAAGTAAACGCAAATATTTAAGACAAATTTTAGAATATAATTGCTGATATCTGACAAATTGATGGCTTGAGAACAATATGTAACATTTGATATAAATTGGGCCAAACTTTACATGACTTTCCTTTACCATACTATCTGGATCTAATACAACCTTTGCAATTGAAACTACTTTTGATGATTATAATTTTCCCTAATAATTTCATCGACAGCTTATCATATTATTCACTACCTTTTTCTCTACCTGCTTTTGGTTGTCACTTTTTAATAGAATTAATTTACATATAGTTATTTGATAAAAGGTAACAGATCATAGATTGATCATTTCTCAATTGTCAGCAGTCCTTTTGCGCCAATTACTGTGTTTCAGGGGTATCATTTGCGCCATTTTTTTTTTCAAATGTATCAATTGCGCCAATATTCGGAACTCATTTGCGCCAATTTACCTGAACACATATTGATCGTACATATTAAAGATTTATATATATTTATTCTTATTTTTGTCTTATAAATTTGTATTCGTGAAATAATTGTTACTCTTGTTGGTGAAAGGTGAGTATAAATAATAGGATTAACATTATACTAAAGGTATGTATATAAACCAACAGGTGAACACTAATTATAAAAAGTGTTCAGTGACGAATATAAAAAAAAATCAGTTTAAGAGAAGTCTTTGCTTGGACAACATGGATATTACTATAAAGAAATTAGAATCGAATCGAGGGGAGCCAGTTGTTGTTTAAGATGGCCATAAATTTCGTCCAGCTTCTATTAGACCTTTTCAACAACTCTCGACACCGACTAATGACACCTACAGTTTACAGGTAAAATGAATGGGTCGTCTCAAAATTGAAAATCATTCGTGAATAGTATTACGTTTTCACCTTCGATTTATCGTTTTACACTATTTTGACGAAAGAACATATTTCAAACAAAAATGAATTATATCTCTCTCTTTTGTATAACATTATAATTACATGTATTTATACAACATTTTACGTTGAATTTATTAAACCTTCAAATATATAATTACTGCAATCATTTCACATCGTAATCTGCCTTTTTTTCTACTTAAATGTTATTATGTGAGTATTTAAATAAGCGAGTCTGTCAATGCAGATTGTTCCACATGCCAATGGCGATCAATTCGTTTTTGTAATACTATTTATGAAATTTGCGGATTGAACATTGTAACAGGACTGCCGTCTGTCCGCTAGAGTTTGTCTATCACAACCGATCTTCACGTTACTTTTTGTACACATTCAATTTTGGGAGGTGTAAAAGCCTATTGGTTTAAAGGTCAAAGGAAAAGGCCACATCGATCATTTAGTTACGAGGGATTACTCCGCTTTAAAATACCATGTTAAAGTTGAGATGTTTCCTTAATGAACTGGAAACATTAACGGCACCATTTTTTTTCTGCGCCACATGCGCATTTTGACAATAAATGTCTCTTCAGAGATGCGTATGGTATTTACATCTCACAGAGCTTGTTTTCATTGCAGTGTCTTTTTGGAAAGTGCCGAACCGATTGATCGTTATAGGTTGTCCGTGTCCCGAAAGACAACATACCTTGTCCCTTTGTCGTAGATTCCTTTCCCTGTTGCAGAAAAATGACCTTCGTGTGTCTGGCAAGAAGCGAGAACTGCCTACCCTTCCCCTTTTCAGGACATAGCTTTGGTTTTCTACTCTTTTCTATTTTTGCCATGCATAATGGTTTTTAAGTTTCATCTCTGACCATACATAGGGGAGGTTTTAGATCCATATAAACTAGTAAAACCCCGCCGCATGTTTTATGCTCCTGAAACAATTCCTGAACAAGTTGGTCACAATAGAATTTTTAGTTTACAATTTGATACTTTGACATTATGCTTCGCTCTTATATTTATTTCCTTTTTATTCGATCAAAGATAGTAACTTTGTTTCCTTTTTTTTTCTTTTTTGGAGTTTGGGATGGGGTCTTTAACCAAAATGCAGACCATGCGGTAACTCTGAATGTCTGTTTTATATGTTGCATTGTGTGATTTTTTTCCTACTGCGGAAGTCATAAAAATAGCAAGAGAACGAAAAAAAAATCTTACGATTTGAATCTGAATCTGAATCAGCAGAGACACCAAGGGCCTTTAAAAATCTTGGTATCTATTTTGTTATGAATTTATTGTACTCCAGCTAATTCTCGCGAATGAGGTTCAATTGTTTTGCGCTATTTTGCTTTAAGTTTGTTTTGGTCGTACAACATTAGGGCGAGGCAATTCATCAGCTTCCTCCTCTCTCTTGTCCGCTACGGCATCTGGTTGCCGGGGCTCAGGTCAAACGACGGCACAGTAAACCGGACAATTTAAAGAGAAATAGTCGAAATTTAAATTACATTGTCGCTGAATATCGATTTCAAGTTGAACATCAAATTGGTGAATTAAAAAGAAATAAAGTAATGAATACCATTGAGGCATCCGAAGCCAAAATTAACAGACATTGTAGAAACATGTACCGCCCTTGTCAACAGACATAAAATATTGATTAATTAAAAATCTACTACAAAAATACAGGTTTGTTTTTTGTTTTTTTTTTCATTTTCAAACTCGACGTCTAAAAGAAATGAAACATTGAAGTCCTTCCTTTTCTTCATAGTCAATTCACAAATAAGTTTAATTTTGATAAGCAAATACTTTATCAACAAAATAAGGTACGGTACTCAACAATTACTTTTATACACGTCAAGTTGGATAGTTGTCTAATTGGCAATCAAAATAATCATATGCGATCAATATTATTTTTTTAAATTTTATTTTTGAGACGACCCCTCATATCTCACCTGTCGTAGTCGTTCTCAATTGTAGATGTAGACAATTGTTGAAAAGGTCTATTAAAAAAAGTGGAGAAATAAGATGGCGATGTACTACCAAAAACTGCAGTGCTACAGCTTATACCAATGAGCAATGTATAGCTGTTTTGAGTGGAAATCTTGCACATATACATGAGACAGATCCACAAAAGTTATAGCGTCAAATACTACGCACGGCATGCAAAAGAAAAGCTACAGAAAATATATCCGAAAGACCAGCAAAGATCATATGTTCGGAGCTATTTCATCATGAAGAGGAACATCTGCAGAAAAATGTTTTCTTTGCTTAAGGAATGTTGTGAAAGGTTTAATCTTCAAATGAATTTTGCATCTATGCATGTAGATTTTGAGGAGAGAATGCATGTTGTCGTTAAAGAGTTTTTCCCAGGAATTATCATCAAGGCATGTCGTTTTCATCTTGGCCAAGCATGGTGGCGTAAAATACAAAATCTTGGACTAGCAAAAGAGTATAAAAAAGTTGGCAGTGATAGTAGCAAGTGGTTACACCATTTTTTTGGATTAGCCTTTCTGAACCCAGATGAAGTAGGTGATTGCTTTGCTGAAGATTTGATACAGGATATGCCAAAAGACAAGAAAATAGAAGCGTTTGCTGACTATGTTTTAGCCACATATGCTGATGACAGTGCTTTGTTCCCACCATCCATATGGGCCGAAACCCCATCTACCGCAAGACGTACTAATAATGGAGCAGAGGCATTCCACAAGAATTATAATGAACTCTTTTATTCATCCCATCCTTCCATGTTTGTGTTTTTGGACAATATAGTAAAGTGTCAAGCTACAACATACATTAAATCGCGAAGTACGCATGCACCAGCAGTTAGAACTAGACATGTATCAGAAAAGGAAACTTTTGCCGTTCAAAAGTACATGAAATATGCAGAAGGAGAACTCAGTCGCAGAGACTTTATATGTGTAATGAGTTACAAATTCCAGCCTTTAACTTCTTAATCAAATATATATGATGTCCGGCTGTACATAGTTTTATGTTTTAAAGTATTCCATTAAATGACTTAAAATGACTTTAACTCCGTCAGTGAAAACTGCCGGTCCCAAGCCCGGATAAAGGAGGAGGGAAGTCATTTTTCTTTTAATTGGCGCAATCGTATATTTTATTTTTGGCGCAAATGAAACTATGTAATTTTAAAACAGGTGGAGCAAACGTAGCATTGGATAAAAAAGTATTGGCGCAAAAGGACGCATTTTTGGCGCAAACGGATCTCTCCCTCTCAATTGTGACAGTATACATCTCATACCTTTGGGCCATACTAGACATCCTGATCCACTTTAATAGTATTAGATACACATACATGTGTATGTACCGCATGGCTAGTCCTTGTCCCAGACTTTAATATATAATTTTATTTTAACTTTAATTTAAAAAAGAAAAATGTTCATTTTACCAATAATTACTTACCAAATGTGTAAATAGTTCCTAATGTCAAATGTACAATTATTCCAGCAACTACAACAGAACACCCCCTCCATTTGACAGTCATTTTAGGTTTATCAAATGTAAAAATAAATAATTGTGTTTATGTCAGTCACATTACGCAAGTCACGTGAGACTCTTATCAGTATAGAGATTACTATAAATTATCACATATATAGGTTATTAGTTAAAATCCAAAATTTAAATTCAAACTAAATGCATTTTCTTTCATAATACTTCATGGTTGACGAACAGAACAATTGATTATGGAAAATAAAACCTAAATTTAACATTTATCTTTTTATCTTACATTAAAAATATGTTGAACACGATTACTTTGGACATCACATAAAATCTTGTACTTCTTCCACCTATATTTAATTCGTTATGAAATTCATTATGAAATTCATTTGGAAGTGCAGTTGCCAGTATTTGAATACACAAGAATGCATGATTGCTTTACCTTTCGACCAAGTACTTTGAGTTCGATAGCTCTATCATGGAATTCGTGCCTTTTTATTGGCTCTGCTGGCATTAATTGCCATGAATCGAATAGTCTTCCAATGATGAATCAAATAAGAAAGGGTTAAAACTCACAAACGTTTTTTACTCCAACCCACATATTTTTATACAAAACTAGGGCACGTTTTAGTGTTGTCGATGCTTCTAAGGTCTCCTTAAATTGATCTTAATGTCGGTTCCAAAATCATGTGTGGTTTTATTATCGAGCCTGCGACTTTTGTCGCAGAAAGCTCGACATAGGGATAGTGATCCGGCGGCGGCGGCGGCGGCTACGGCGGCGGCGGCGTTAGCTAACTTCTTAAAAGCTTTATATTTTAGAAGGTGGAAGGTCTGGATGCTTCATACTTTGTATATGGATGCCTCATGTTACGAAGTTTCTGTCAGTCACATGTCCAATGTCCTTGACCTCATTTTCATGGTTCAGTGACTACTTGAAAAAAAAATCAGATTTTTTGTAATGTTAGATTCTCTCTTATTATAAGTAATAGGATAACTCTATTTGGTATGTGCGTACCTTGCAAGGTCCTCATGCCCGTCAGACAGTTTTCACTTGACCTCGACCTCATTTCATGGATCAGTGAACACGGTTAAGTTTTGGTGGTCAAGTCCATATCTCAGATACTATAAGCAATAGGTCTAGTATATTCGGTGTATGGAAGGACTGTAAGGTGTACATGTCCAACTGGCAGGTGTCATCTGACCTTGACCTCATTTTCATGGTTCAGTGGTTATAGTTAAGTTTTTGTGTTTTGGTCTGTTTTTCCTATACTGTATGCCATAGGTCTACTATATTTGGTGTATGGAATGATTGTAAGGTGTACATGTCTAGCGGGCAGGTGTCATCTAACCTTGACCTCATTTTCATGGTTCAGTGGTCAAAGTTAAGTTTTTGTGTTTTGGTCTTTTTTTCTAATACTATATGCAATAGTTCAACTATATTTGGTATGTGCGTACCTTGCAAGGTCCTCATGCCCGTCAGACAGTTTTCACTTGACCTTGACCTCATTTCATGGATCAGTGAACAAGGTTAAGTTTTGGTGGTCAAGTCCATATCTCAGATACTATAAGCAATAGGTCTAGTATATTCGGTGTATGGAAGGACTGTAAGGTGTACATGTCCAACTGGCAGGTGTCATCTGACCTTGACCTCATTTTCAATGTTCAGTGGTTATAGTTAAGTTTTTGTGTTTTGGTCTGTTTTTCTTATACTGTATGCAATAGGCCTACTATAGTTGGTGTAGGGAATGATTGTAAGGTGTACATGTCTAGCGGGCAGGTGTCATCTGACCTTGACCTCATTTTCATGGTTCAGTGGTCAAAGTTAATTTTTTGAGTTTTGGTCTTTTTTTCTAATACTATATGCAATAGTTCAACTATAGTTGGTGTATGGAAATATTTTATGATCTATTTGTCAGTCACACAGTTTTTTTTTTTTACCTTGACCTCATTTTCAAGGTTCATTGCTCAGTGTTAAGTTTTTGTGTTTTGGTCTGTTTTTCTTAAACTAAAAGCAATAGGTCAACTATATTTGTTGTATGGAAGAATTGTTAGCTGTACATGCCTGCCTAGCATGGTTCATCTGACCTTGACCTCATTTTCATGGTTCATTGGTCAATGTTTAGTTAACTTGGTTAATAATAAGTTTATGTGACAGTTGTAATAAAGCTTTATATTTAGGACTATCAACATAATACCAATGATAAGTAAAGAAGGCGAGACATTTCAGTGTGTGCACTCTTGTTAGATAATGCACACTTTGTCTAGACCTATCTAGATCTTCCTATGCGGTATCAAGGCTTGTCTTTCGTTTGGACCATATGGTAACCGTTAGTATAAATATAAAAACAAGAAGATGAGGTATAATTGCCAATAACTTTCCACCAGAGACCAAATGACATAGAAGTTAACAATTATCGGTCACCGTACGGCCTTCAACAATGAGCAAAACCCATACCACATAGTCAGCTATAAAAGGCCCCGAAATGACAAATGTTAGATATGTTTTATTTCTAATGTTGATCCTTAGATATCTTTTAATTCTTAAAATTGACCCTTAAAAATCTATTTATGCTTAATTTTATTGTGTTAATCTCTGGTTACCACAATGCAAATTTCTATTATTACGTAAACATAATTATAAATGACATTAAATATAAAGGAGAGAAAAAAATCCCGAAACTTTCAAGAATTGTTTGAAAGAAAAAGTTGTTATAAAAATGTCAGGTGTAACACGTTTCTGCACTTATAAATACAGATACATGTAAAAATGCAACAACATGAGATTTTAGGTTTTAGACAATGAGGATATACTACACTGTATAGGAAGGATTAACTGTTTTTCCACACGGAACATTGCATAAAATGTAAAAGAACTTACAACAAATCTTTCATATATAGCTGTTTATTACACGTGTGACATTAAGCTGATCAATACTGCACGGAAACGAAAAAAAAATGACTTAAAAGTTTGTTTGCTTAACGTCCAGTGGTAAATAGTTCATATACCTATTCAGAATTGATACATTCATTTAATAGGTAGGCTCGGTAAAGCTAGTAGAAGAGAATGAAAGGCGGGGAATCTGGATTGCCATCTCAGGCTCGGTAAAGCTTGTAGAGGGGATGAAAGGCGGGGAATCTGGATTGCCATCTCAGGCTCGGTAAAGCTTGTAGAGGGGATGAAAGGCAGGAAATCTGGATTACCATCTCAGGCTCGTTAAAGCTTGTAGAGGGGGGTGAAAGGCGGGGAATCTGGATTGCCATCTCAGGCTCGGTAAAGCTTGTAGAGGGGGATGAAAGGCGGGGAATCTGGATTGCCATCTCAAGCTCGGTAAAGCTTGTAGAGGGGGATGAAATGCGGGGAATCTGGATTGCCATCTCATTTGTTACCTCATATCATTATTATTACCTTATACCATTGAAAAACTGGGAGTGTTGGATAAGGATAGACATTTTTGCCTTGCAACAAGCTATCTACAGACCCTTCAAGTATAGGTGTTTTTGAACGTACAGAGAGCAAGGCACACTGCTGTCGGGCGTTTCAGTGTATTTATGCATCCCATATTTTCATAATTATTGTTTTCCGTATAATGTCAACAAAAACTAACACTCATGTTTTTTTTTATTTAGATACAAATACAATTTGAAGAACTGAGGTTAAAATTTTCGAAGCTTAGGTTGGCGAAAATTCTCAAATCAGTAATTTGTGACATTTAATTTAACACAGTAAAGTGCACTATTGAGGTGATTTAGAGGCTCACAACAACCTGCATCGCTCGCCTGGTAACTATTCATAATGATAACTAATTTTCAGCTAAGATTTTAAAGTTAAGACGAGAGAAGGTACCATATAATTTCTTAAATCGCCTTAATTTTTAAAACATTGCACATTGCAGGTTCAGCCAACGTTTTTCATACAATGACAAACAAATCAATGATGATTAAAGACCTTTTATACATGTACATCAGTTCTGTTAAAGTACGTTAAAACTGGCCAAGAAGGATAGGAGAAGATGAAAATCTTATTTTCACACGACTCAGTTGTAGCAATATGCCTAAAATGACACCGTGTTTACCATTATATCAACATTTAAGGGTAGTCATTTGTAAAGGATCTTACTATCATCAATCAGCTCAAGTTTCAAAGCATTTCGCCTTGTAGTTTCAGAGGAGAATATTTTTGAAAATTTGCCATTTCTCCTGATGGCCACATCTTTATTCCATCAGAACAAAATGATTAATATTTATAGATGACTTTTTATACATTATTCATGCCAAAATGAAAATTAAGGAGACATCGTATGTATGTCAATGAGACAACTATTCCCAATGACCAAAGGACGTGGATATAAGCAACTATAAGTCACCGTAAGGAGGAACATTTGGTCATATTGGCTTTTTTGTTAAAAATCTATCGTTAATCGTTTTTTTCCGTTTACATATGATGTCTATATTATTAAAATAGTTTTCAAGATAATAGGAAAACGCTAAAACTTGTAAAACATAGTCATGTAAGGACAATGACTCTTATAGGGAGTCGTCTGAACATTTTGGTAAGAAGTATAAGGGGCAGATTTTGCTATTCAGGGTATTTTAACTAATTGGAATTTCTCTTTCTATTACTAGTATGCTATCAAGATATAAAACACGTATTTGTATTTAGTTCTTTATGATTTCAGCCATGGCGACCATGTTTATGTGTTGTTTGAAACAAAACATTTTACAGGACACACGAAAAATCATTCCGGTCAAGTTTAGTTAATATTGGTCCTGTTGACATTATCATTTTGAACAAAATACGACGGACTTGTGGTGTGTTCTGTTTTCTAGTGCACCAGTGAATATAGCAGTGTGAGCTTAAAAAAACAACATCGAAGGGTACATGTTACTTTTACTGGCACTATAAAACTGCTGTATTTTGAGGGAACAGTCAATTATCAATAAGAACTTCCATATAGTAATTGTTTTACTGTGCATCTCAGATGAATGAATTGAGAACGTTTAAAAATGGGATTGAGAAAGCCTTTTTTCATAATGGTAATGACAATGATATGAGGTAATGACAATGAGATGGTAAACAACACAGATTT